GAAGTAAAGGAATTCGTGAAAAAAATACTAAATAATTTTTAAATGTCTTGAATACATATTTAAATATGCATTCAATTTTATTTAGAAATACTGTATCTAAATGCAAAATGTATTTAGATACGTGTTTAATTAATGTCAAATACATTACTGCCCATTTTTGCCTGTCACAAACTTAATCTGTCATCTACAACATCACGCTGGAGGTCACCTTCACATGCATGGCTTCATAGTACCTGAGCGACTTACTATAAACAGTTGGGTATAAGACCCGCCCAGTTGGGTATAAGACCCGCCCAGTTGGGTATAAGACCCGCCCAGTTGGGTATAAGACCCGCCCAGTTGGGAAGGAGTGTTTTTGCTCTCAGTTTCTAGGGTGCGACACTTTATCTTGTCTCCAATTTCAGGGATGAAAAAAAAGAAAGATAATATATGAGTTTTAGTCCATATGTTAGTCGCCAGACATCCTGCCTCATAATGCCACTCAACCAGATTATTTTTCTTCACCTTTTAGTATTTTGTAATTAAGAAAACTGGAACCTAATTTGAAGCATATTCCAAGTCACTGATGTTAGCCATCACCTCATGTCACCCTAATAGAACAGAACTTTTGAACGGGTTGTTTGCTGCACGTGTCTTCAATTATTTGTATGAATAAAACAATACAAACTGATATAGGAATAATTTTAATAAACATCGAATTTTCAAATGATTTATGGTAAGCCAGGCCAAGTTTCTAGAGCATGACTTAAATTTAGGTATGGGGTGACTGAATAAGCTATAAGCCTCTCCAGTATGATGCCAACCCCTTCAGTACAATGTATTGATCCGTTGATCAATATGTAATGTATAAATGGATAAATTACATTATATCTAATAAAGCTAAATAGTAATGCAGATATGACGTTCATCTGTCTCTGTTTAAGCCATGACAGAGTTCTCCTTAAACCAGATTAACTATAAACTATTGGGTGATGCTGTCAACAAGACTCACCACACTCCGGGTTGGTAACAGCTCACGATGACTTTCACAGAGTACAGGTGAACCTCCAGGTGGGTGCGTCAAGAGCAATTATCAGTTGCTGGCCATTGACTGGAGTGATTCTCGTAATTTCATAATAATGATTTATTTATTCTCTTCAATTTAAAATTTTTGTTATTTATAATTCTTTATACATTACAAGAAATTTCCAGAATTATTTATTGACATCATGAAGCTACTATGAACTTAATACATGGATAAGAGTAGTGTTAAAGTGTCTATTTATAATTTTCAATGTCAATAGTTTTATGAAGTATTGTACAGTAATAAATGAATAAAGTTATCCGATTTTATGTGGTACTTGTCTTGTTGAAAGTGGTGAAGAGACGTCCCCAAAGCTGCTCAACATTAAGGTTAAAAAAGGTGTAGAGATGGAAGTAATAGTTCGTTCCAAATTAAAAATAAATCCTAAACTAATAATTAAAAAAGACATCAGGGAACTGAAACAGGTGGAAAATTCTGTTTGTTTGGGAAGTAACATGTGTTCTCATAATAAATGTAAAATAAAAAAAAACACCTAAGAGATATGTAACAAAAAGTTCCCTAAATTAAGTTTAAGAAAAGGTCTTCTGATATACGAGTACAATATATAGTTGGTACTGTTATATGGGGTAGACGTGTGGATACTTTCAATAGACATTAGAGGGGGGTCTTCGATATATGGTGCTAAATAATTGTACTAAAGGTTGGTTATAGTGGTAGAAAAACAAATTTATTAGTTCTAAGGATGGATAATGGTACAGACATTAACGTGGTCCTTAACGGTGTGGTTTAAAGGAAGATATTAACTGTGATAATTAATTGATAAAGAAGCCTAAAGCCGTTTAAATAATGGGACACGGTCGTCAACTCTCAGACAGGATTATGGCACCTTGATTATACTCGCTATATGTAGAGTTGGTTTTATCAAACTCTTCTATGTTTCTTATTGTATATTTGAGAATATTTACCGTAGAAAGTCAAAGGTTCCTCTTAAAGTATTCCCACTATTGGCTTAAGTGTATCAAGTGAAGGACCAAAGAGATGTATTTGTTCCAACTCTTACTTCCCACCTTGGCGATCCTCTCACCCCTCGTCTCCTCAGTACTGTGTGCTCGGGGTGCCTGGATACCATGACAAGTTTCATCTTCCATGCAACACATAGGCTATGTATCCTACACCAATTACTCTCGCTAATATATACTTCTAGCTAGTATATTCCTGAGCTCAATACTTGTACCATTTTCATGAATATCTTAGTGTTATACACTGTATGGTAGACGACATCAACTAAATTAGCTCGTATTAATAGATGTCATTACATATCTTATTATCACTCATCTTGGTCTGTTTTTATGTTATTTCGTTAAAATGTGTTATAATTTGTCAATATAATATTTATATAATATGTACTAACTTAATAAGTTATTGAAGACATGGTTTGAAACCTGACTTGTCTGGTACGCGGTAGGCAACATCTCACCCTGAATCCTTAGTCAACAGGTGATGTTGCTCCCACTATTATCAGTAATTCGGTTATTGAACTCTTTATTATGTTGACAACAACGACAATGCGAAGTATCGTTTTCGGTCCCCTCCATCTGGCCATCGGTGTCTCTGTCACAGTCCCTAGAATAACTCTAGAACGGCTTTGCAAATTTTCGCCAGTCTTAGCAGGATTAATCAACATGAGACAAATCGCGCCAAATGTTGTCAAGGAATTGGTTTGCAATCAGATTTTATCGGGGGTTTTTAAGTAAACTATGACCTGAGAAAGCATCCAGCGGTTAATATATTAATTTATGGTATGGTATTGCAATGGTTTACAGCAGGGGTTCTCAACCAGGGGGGAATTCCCCCCAGGGGGGAATTCAGGTTTTCAGGGGGGGGGGGAAAACTGATTCGGGAGCAAGAGATATGTTCGATGAGAAATCAATCACAGAATTTTGGCCCTTGATGTGCGATTCCTACCCAAAAGTGGCAGAAAGAGCTATCCGTGCATTGCTTCCGTTTGTGTCGACATATCTTTGTGAGTCAGGCTTTTCAACTCTGTTGCAAATTAAAACGAAGCAACGTAGTAGATTAGAGGTAGAAAATGACCTGCGTTGTGCCCTTTCAAGCACTCCTCCGCGTATCCCAGAATTGGCGAAGAAAAAACAATCACAGGTTTCTCATTGACTGTAATCTTCATCTGAATAAAATTAATTAGAAATTTACAATATCCTGGTATTCTATTGAACTTTTTGTTTATTGCATTATGCTTCAGTTTGGTCTGTTAAGTAATTCATTATAAATAAAAAAAAACTATTTTACTTTTATTCAAGTTTTATAAATCCATCAACATTTTCAATTGGCATTTAATTTGTAAAACTCCACTTTAAAAATAATCCATGTAAAATTGTAAATGTATATGTACTAATATGGAAAAAAGAAAGGATTTTCAGTATTATATGCATATTATTTGGAATGCACTTTTTGAGGCAGACAATCTTGGAAAGGAGGGGGGAATGACATTCTGACATATGGTGAAAGGGGTGCATGGGGCAAACAAGGTTGAGAACCACTGGTTTACAGGAAGTGTTTGTATCCACTCTGATGATGTTTCTTTTCTTTTTACATTTATTTCTACCATAGTAATAACTGCTTCCCATTTAGTCGTTTAGTGTTATTAAAGGAATTATACATTTTTATTATTTTTATTTAATTTTATTCTCTCAGTCTGTAAGTCTGTCTGTCTTTGTGTAAGCAAGCTTGATAGGTTTGATCAACATGTGGCTTTATTTGCCAATGCAACGAACGAAGTCAAACTACATTCTATTCCTTACAATTGAGGATAAAGGGAATAATGGTTGAGACAATAATGGGTAACACTGATGGTAAGAAGTCCAGGGGGGAGTACAGACTAGGGTGGATGAAAGGTATTATAAAACGAGTCACTAAAGCAACGCAAAATGTGGAAAGCTTACCAAAGAAAGTCTGAGAACTTTAGAAATAGATAACTATGGACGCTGGCTGTTAACACCTTCATTTGTTTATTTATCTGGATTTTTGCTAATTAATACCATCTAAAAATGACAAGAAAAACCTATTTAGATCTTTTCCTTCATGATGTTACTTCTCAGACCAGGCGCCATAAGTTTGTTACTGCACAATAAAGTACTCCTCCGTTCTTAATTATGACTTAGAATAAATGAACGTTACTTAAAAATATAGGCAACGTTCTTTAAGATGTGATCCCATTCATGGTCGTTCAGCACTTACACTAAACTGTATCATATACTCTATAATGCATAATTATAACTAAGGGAGTTCCATATATTATATATCTTTGGCATCACCAATGTTATATAGTACAAATACGCTTTACACCTGAAAGCTGAAAGAGCATTCTGTGGAACTATTTAACTCGAAGAGGATACCATAGGCATGACTGGCTATGAAAAACAGGTATTGTGGGGAATGACTTGAGATCAGAACAATGAACTATAGAACAGGTGACAAACGCCAAATTCATTCGGCCGCCGCATCCAGATAACATACAGTAGAAGTCATCAATTGACACAAATTGCTTAGGTTGTTTAATTGTATTCCTTTGCTTCGACAGCTAATGTATTCAATACTTAAAACATGTATTCAATTCTTAAAACATGGAAACAGCGAACACATCTCTAATGGCCTAATCTTAACAATATTTCATTACTGGCAGTTCGACAATATATTAAATACTGAATTAACATCTTAATGTATACTTCCCATAAAACTTTTTCCTCAATAATCATGTCGACAATAACACGGCACAAAGTTTTAAGTAAAAATTCCACGTTAAGAATATCAGGTAAACTTTCATGATTGAATAATTTCTATTTCCGTTATGGCAGGTGGCTGTCAGTATTAGTATTCAAGCACTTTTTCAGTCATGATAGAAGAGAGAGCCTGAGAGCGACCAGCTGACTAGGTGACCCTGAACTCTGGCTGGGGTCGCTCCGTTGCCAGTATAAAAGAGCTTGCTGGATGTTGGTCCTCATACTACTTCTGACAAGCAAGATGAAGTTCCTCGTGATCCTCTTCTCCCTCACCGTCCTGGCATGGTAACAATTTATTACACTACAACCGTCATTGTTATATACACGTTTTGCTTTATGCCTTAGATAAAACTCAAATTTTTATAAACAAACTTTCTTTGTTTGGCTGGCTGGGGTCAGGGATGGTGATCTAGGGCAGCAGTAACGTTCGTAAGGTAAATAGCTTCTTACAGTCCAATTTTATCGGCTTATATTTTCATAGCCTAAATATAGCTGACATTCTTACAAAAAACTCAAACATTAGTGTTTTGCTTAACCTTTACTGACAAATATATCCAAAATGATTTAGTTGAGGGCAGAAAGGGAATGAAACTCTCTCGTCTCTACATGTACAAATATATGACTCACATGCACTTCTAACATCATGAACATTTTATCACTTTATGTGATTGTTCCTTTTACTAGTATTTAAAAAGAAAAATTTATGGTATGGCATTTTCACAATTGCTACTCTTAGTCTCGCTCATATATCATTATGTGGTTTAAATTTAGATTAAATTCAGACTCACTTTACTCTATTTAAAGGACCACAATGTAAAGAAGACCAAATGTCAATTTTGTAATGTGGATCAAGACCGTCAATAGTGTCACACTACGTGATAGTCTCCTAAAACTGAAAAAAATGCTGAAAGATATGAGGCTTTTACATAGAAAGAAATTTCTTATTAATCCTAATAATTTACGAATATTCTATCAATTTGAGTTGCCAGGTAATATCTGTTTAGTCAGACAAAATTTAAGCAACTTAAGTAATATACAAAGCTTCTGGCACACTGCCCATGTATTCACGGAAGGAATTGATCACATGGGGATATCTTAAACAAGATAATTTTGACACACATGAAGGTGATTAACAATAGCTCCGTATCAAGACTAATGGTATGTTAAAATAGAAATATAATCAGCCACTCCTACTGGCAGGGCTCAAGAAGTCCCAGAGTGTGACTGTGGCGCCTTCATTACTGAGGCTGCAGAGGAGGAAGAAGTGTTCCCCATGGAGGCCTTCGATGTGAAAAACTGTGAAGATCAAAAGGATTGTCATGATAGATGCCGCACAGAGGTGAGCCTTTACTGCCATATACTAACAGAGAAATGTCAAGTACAGATGTCATGATTTATATATGAAAATGTACTTCACAGAATAAACACTCAAATAATACACTTCTTTGAAATGGTGTACACAATATCTTAACATATGCCTCTGAGGTTTAGGCAGTGTGACTTTTATCCTCAAGTGCATATAATTTCTTCCTTGGGTGTACAGTGGGACGAAATAACCAACGAAGGAGACCTGAATTTCGAGCTTCCCGACGGCAAGACGGTGGGCCAGAGTATGTGTGACGACCTGGCTGAGGAGGGTAAAGACGTCGTTGGGCCAACTGAAGTAAGTCTACAATAACATAGCGAGAAATAATAGGAAGATAAAGTCTTAAGAAGGAAGTAGAAAGGAACAGTAATGGATTAGGATCTTCCGCTCATTTTTCGGTGTTCCATTCAAATTTAATTATATATATCCTAATCCATTTCTGCTCCTTTCTACTGCCTTCTTAAGACTTTATCTTCCTATTAGTTTCTACGTTCATGAAGCTGTTGTACAATAACGCCATCATTAACAAGAGATGAATGTTAGTGCGGTAAGTCAACGGTTAACCTTTAGTCGACCATCTGGATTTTATAGTAATGTTGTTGATTAAATTAGGAAATTGTTTTGTCACTTTCGAATATATTACAATAACGAAGCACCCGTCATATTTTAAGACCGAAAATGTATTTGCATCTCTTATGTCAAGTTAAAAAAAAATTAAGTGTCAATAACAGTTTCACGTCCCTACGTGTATTATTCCTGTTCTTATAACCAGTTGAATACTATGAAAATCTTATTAATATGTACAATACACATGCACACACGGATGCACGCATATACACATATACACCCTCAAACAGAAATGTTCATACCCCCATGAAAAATATATCATAGTAAATAATTTTCATAAATCTTAACTTTTTTAATGATGGGATAGTCTAATAGTCATATTCAATGTGCCTTCCACACACAGGTGTTCCTGTACGTGAGGCTCTGTGATGGCCCGTGGGAGGACGACGGTGAGGCCACTATGGAGATGCTGTGTTGTGACGCAGGTCAACACGAACCCTGCGAGTAAATACCAGCACACAGCCACCCCCTGAGACTTTAACAGCAACATACAACGAGCCACTTACTAAGATGTTTACTATGGCAATAAGTTTACTATTAAGATAATGATTCTGCAACGACTTCGATGTAATTGCCAACCTTTACTACCAGATCAAATTAATGTCATACTTTCATCTACTCCAGTTTATACTAAACACTGATTCCCAACATTGATGTTAAGAAATATATGTACCTTCACTTAGCCCCTTGTCACATACACAACATCTTAGGCAATAAGCTAAATACTGACATCAATAAAACCTTAACAGCTCTTTGTGATTTCCATACCTACGATAAAGAGAATTTTCAAAATAATGTCTTCTAGATTAGCTCTTCTTAAACCTATATACGGGACTGGCGGCTAAATGCTGAAAATTATGATTTAAAATCAGTTGAAGGAAAATGACAAATTTGATAAGATTTGTTATATTTGATCATGCATCAATCTTCTATCAAAACATACACGACTTTCCACAAAGACGGTCTGCATTTTCCCACTTCTCACATTCAACCATAAGATCGATGAAAAGTTTTGTCTCTAGTCTTCCATCTTACAGAAAGACTCATAAAATAAAAATTTCTTTCGTCCTTTTATAATCCTCTCACGTAAACAACTTTTTCATCATATATTATTAATTCTTATTGAAGGCGACTTTCTCTCCATAAATTATCGTTAACTGTTCCTTTCCCTCACCATTGTATCATCCACCTGGAACATTGACAGTTGATGTCATATTTGTGGTATGATGGTATATTTATTGGGGTGTTACATAGGAAGTACTGTGACGCTAACCGAACAATTTATACATAATCTAACAGGTTACCAATGAAGTTAGTGAGATAAGGAATCCAATTTGGAATAACATGATAATTAACTTGACCTCTGAATCATTTGTAATGGATGTTTTTTTGAAAGGTAACCAATATTTTATGAATTCGAAGAGCAGAGGAAGTGATCGGATCTCACATTAAATTGACAAAAAAAATATACGTTAATAAAGCCAATGATTCAGATCTTGTAATTTTTTTGTCAATGCGACGTCCTTATTTTAGTGATTATTTGTCTTTGATGTGTTCTGTGGTATATTGTCGAGAACGCCGCCTTGTCATCTTTGGGATAATCGTCACAGGCGTTATTTAGAACCAATTGTTTAGGGGTATACAAAATCTCATAATTTTCTTAATATGTAAGTTTTATTGTAAAATATAGTAAATACCGCTTTTTTACCAAACTCTCTTTCCAAAGATCTTATGAAAGTTGGAAGTATTGTACACAAACCCTCAGTTAAAATAAATAAGGTGAAACTGACAGTCGATTGTCTAAGCTACAAAAAAAAATGTTTTCAGAGCACCAGTTATAAAAGCTACTATATTTTATGATCGTCAGACTGCGAGCGAACATATATTCCTGCCCTAGCTAACTGGGGATACAAATCTTGGAATTAAGGAGTGACTGGGGCTCGCAGTTGAGGTACCAGGTGACAAATTGGTATCTGTAGTGTAAGAGAAGTTATGTAATGGTGATGAATCTCTCTGGAGTGTGGCTATGTCGAGAAGATCTGAAATGATGCTCTGTGAAATGCGGGAACTATCATACGGCCAGGAAAGGTAAAGTAAATTGAGTTAATGTCTCAAAAGTTGGTTTTGTGTGACTAACAGTGGATTCATGAGAGAAATTACTTGAATGTTGATTCTTCATTGTGATTGAGGGTATTATTTTACTGGGATTATTTGAGCGTAGGTTAATTGTGGAATTACTAGGTGTAGTGTGTAATATACTGTTTTCAGATATAATATGATATTGTAATTGATAGCGCATTTGCCTGTTTATTCAAGGACATGATATAAAGGCATTGATAAAAGGTTGCCAGACGCGAAGAAAAAGGATTATTGAAATGATATGGTGTAATAGGTGTTGGCTAATACCAGTCTTAACCTGGGTTGCATTACAAATATAGATGGTGAGTATAATGACTGTAATTTCATGTGCTGCGCTGATAAACAATCTACGTTCTCTAGAGGTCTGATGATCATAAAATAAAGTAGCTTTTATAACTGGTGGTATAAAGACGATTCATTACTTTTGTATAGCTTAGCCAATCGTCTCTCAGTTTTGCCTAATTTATTTTGAAAGTTTGTGTACATTACTTTCAACTTTCATAAATGAGTTTGGTAAAGAATTATTTAATATATCTTACTGTAGTACTTATCTATTAAGAAAATTATCAGCTTTTGTAATACCGCTAAGCAATTGGTTCTACCAAGTCACCGTGACCATTTTCATGGTTATTTATAAGATGATTTTCCCAAAGATGTCAAGGAGGCGTTCTCCACAATTTACCCTGAAACACATCGAAGATAAATTATCACTAAATTAAGGACGTCTCATTGAAAACCAAAAACAAAACAAAACTACAAGATTTGAATTATTGGCAATTTTAAAGTTTTTTCTTAAATTAATGGAAATGGTTGAAATGTGAGATCCGGGCCCGTATACACAAAAGTTTTATGATAATGACATAATAGTACTGTTATCTAGCAGTAAAATTTAAAAAGTTATACACAAAGAGGTAAACTTTTACCGCACAAATAGTTGTTTGTTAAGTATCGGTAAACAGCGCCAAAGATAGCAGGAGTTCATCATATGGTCTTATGGCTGAAAAACCTCAATAAATTTATGAAAATTAATTTCAATATTTACATTTATATACATTTTGATCATTAAAATAAAAACAAAATCTAATCTATGCAGTTTGAAAGAGAATTTATTAACCAAGGATAGTGATCGGTGGCTTTTCCTTGCCGTGCTGTTTGTAAACAAACATGTTATTGAGGAAATGGAAGTCTCAACCCCACGAAACAAAAAAGGAAGCCCAACTGGACAGCAGACCAGACTTTATTATTAGTGGATGCCATTGAAGAGAAAAAGTTAATAATGAATGGTCGCTTGAAGGCTTTCCTGAATAATAAAGACAAAAAGAGGGGTTATTTTTCGTTATCTACCCATCACTTTTTTACGATTTTTTTCTTACCATTTAGTAGATCTCATCGAGTAACGAAAGAATATACTTGAATTAAGCGGCGCAGACCAAATATAAACGCGATATTCGCGATTTATTATTTGCAAAAATCACGATTTTTTCTAAGTCCCAATTTGATGTTATGGTGACACGCAGCGTCCCTCTCGCTTCGTTAACCACCCATCACCTTTTTTCACATGAAAAATATATTTTTTCGCTAGTTGTCTTCCTGTTTTAGATGATTCTGACATTTATCTTTGGGGTAAATCACTTTTTTTTTAGTTAGGTTAGGTTATTTTACCTCCAAACAGGCCACGTCCGAACCTGCCCTAACCTAAGCTAACTAAAAAAAAGTGATTTGCCCCAAACACAAATGTCAGAATCATCTAAAGAAGGAAGACAACAAACGAAAAAATATATTTTCCATGTGAAAACAGGTGATGGGTGGTTAACAAAAAATAACCAAAGAGGGCATGACTGGAAATCACCTGAGAGTCAATGTTGTGTTTCCTGGTGAGGTGAGGTCAGTGGCAGAGTGTGAGACACGCTGATTCTCAGTATCGTCCAAGTCAAGAAAGATGATCTTTGCTATAAAGAGGGAATACACATAATATATTCACACTATGTTTAATATATACACACCATATTTATTAAATATATCTCTCCTTTCCCGATAAATGCGTTGCCGCCGCTGTTGTTGTTGGTTCGCCTTGGTATTACGGGACTTAAAAGTGCTCCCGAGGTCTTTTAACTGAACAGCACTATTAAGACCCTTAAAAGTTTTGTGTATACCGGCCCCGATCACTAACTCTGCTCTTCGAATTCATAAAATATTTTGCACCACAAAAAAAAAAATACACAGGATTCAGAGGTCAAGTTAATTATAATGTTATTCCAAATTGGATTCCTTATCTCACTAACTTCATTGGTAATATGTTAGATTATGTATACCTTGTTTGTACCAGAGATGTGACATCAATTGTCAATGTTCCAGGTGGATGATACCATGATGAGGGAAAGGTATAGTTAACGATTATGTATGGAGAGAAAGTCGCCTTCAATAAGAATTAATAATATATGATGGATCAGTTGTTTACGTGAGGATGATAAAATGGTGACAGAGAATTTTGTTTTATATGAGATTTTTATGTAAGATAGAGGAGCAGAGAGAGAGAAAACTCTTCATCTATCTTATGGTTGGGTGTGAAGTTGGTACCGCAGACCATGTTTGTGGTTGTGGAGAGTAGTGGTTACGTTGATGGAAGGTTGATGCATGATAAATTATAACTTATCTTCTCAATTTTGTCATTATTTTCCTCCAACTGATTTTAAATCTTCATTTTCAGCATTTAGCCGCCATTCCCGTATATAAGTTTAAGAAGAGCTAATCTAGAAGACATTATTTTGAAGATGATCTTTATCATAGGTATGGAAAGCACAAAGAGCTGTTAAGGTTTTATTGATGTAAGTATTTAGCTTAGTCCCTAAGATGTTGTGTATGTGACAAGGGGCTAAGTGAAGGTACATATAATTCTTAACATCATTGTTGGGAATCAGTGTTTAGTATAAACTGGAGTAGATGAAAGTATGACATTAATTTGATCTGGTAGTAAAGGTTGGCAATTACTTCTAAGTCGTTGCAGAATCATTATCTTAATAGTAAACTTATTGCCATAGTAAACATCTTAGTAAGTGGCTCGTTGTATGTTGGTGTTAAAGTCTCAGGGGGTGGCTGTGTGCTGGTATTTACTCGCAGGGTTCGTGTTGACCTGCGTCACAACACAGCATCTCCTTAGTGGCCTCACCGTCGTCCTCCCACGGGCCATCACAGAGCCTGACGTACAGGAACACCTGTGTGTGGAAGGCACATTGAATATGACTATTAGACTATCCCATCATTTATAAAGATAAGATTTTTTTAAATTATAAGTTATTATATATTTTTCTTGGGTGTATGAACATTTGTGTGTGAGGGTGCATATGATTGCATGTGTATTGTTCATTTTAAATAAGAAGATTTTCGTAATATTTGACTGGTTATAAGAGCAAGAATAATACACGTAGGGACGTGAAACTATTAGTGACACTTACTTTTTGCTAAAATTTGACTAAGAAATGGAAATACATTTTCAGTCTTAAAATATGACGGGTGCTTCGTTATTGTAATATATTCGAAAGCGACAAAACAATTTCCTAATTTAATCAACAACATTACTATAAAATCCAGATGGTCGACTAAAGGTTAACCGTT